AAAAAAAAAAAAAAATATATATATATATATATATATATATATATATATAAATATAAATGTTTGTGAATATATATAAGCAACTTGCACACATAATAGTCCCACTTTGGTTATTTCAAAATAATAATAAAAACAAATTAAAGGTGTCTGTTATTGAGCATCATCTATTATATGTCAGGCATCGTGTCAGTTACCTGAGATACAATACTGACTGAAATGACGATTCCTACTATCTAATATGGGAAACACTTATTCATTCAACAAATATTTATTGAATACCTACTATATACCAATAACTGTATTAGGTGTATGTTTATATGCATATAGAAAAGATATAAAAGTGCAGCTCCTTAAACTGGTCAATAATTATACACCAATAAGCTGATACGCCAATAACTGTACACCGATAATATACACCAATAACTGTATGAGGTGTCTGTTTATATGCATAGAGAAAAGAAATAAAAGTGCAGTACCTCAAACTGGTCAAAGAAGTCCCTCTGGGGAATGAATATTATAATACGTTTTTTATTATAAAAATTTTTACCTCACCTGTTTCTCTGAGTTAATGTATTTACAATCACCATATATGGATATCTATGCTAGACAAACAGAAATATCTGCATACTTGCCCAAGGAGACACGCACACAGACTAGTCACTGCAGCACAGACTGTTACAATCACAAACTGAAAACAACCTAACCACCCACCAATAAGGGAATGCTAACTAATTTCGACAGAATATCCATAAAATGGTATACAAGGCAGAAGGTTAAGAGGAATAAGACAGTCCCTGTTGCTGCGCGCAGTGGCTCAGGCCTGTAATCCCAGCACTTTGAGAGGTATAGGCGAGAGGATTGCCTGAGTCCATGGGTTTGAAACAAGTCTGGGCAACTTGGTGACGGCTCATCTCTACAATAAATCAAAAAATTAGCTGGGCGTGGTTGCGTGCACCTGTGGTTCCAGCTACTTGGAAGGCTGAGGTGGAAGGATCACCTGAGCCCAGCAGGTCGAGGCTGCGGTGGCCATGAGCATGCCACTGTACTCTAGCCTGGGCAACAGAGTGAGACTTCAACTAAAAAAACATAGTTCTGGTGGCCATGAATTAAAAAAAAAAAAAAAAAAAGAAAACCCCTCAAAGTCATAATGTTAACTGATGAAAATGAGTTGATAAACAATATAAACAGTATGATCTAAAATATATAATTTTTAATTAAATAAACCACAGATACTGAATCCAAGGGATACCCCCCACAGGAAATAAAACTAAATATAGAAACATATACACTAAAGGGACAAATTTGAAAATCAAGAATGTTGGAGAGAATTATGACTTGATTCTTACCACTCACTGAGTGCCTTGTATGAACCAAGCACCATCCTACAAATGTACAAGTGTTTACTCATTTAATTCACACAAAAGCCTGGTGCAGATTATGATATCCTTTAACAGGTGAGGAAATTGGGGCAGAGAAGGTAGTGTTACTTGCTCAGGGTCCCAATGTAGGGATGGGGACTAAATCTAGAGTCCATGTTCTGGCAAGCTGATTGGTCCAAGGGTGATCATACGACCCATGCAATGCCAAGTAGGGTCTTCCCTGAGAAGCTGTGATGTACGTGCTGGAATAAAGAACACGGCTCTCTTCTAATCAGATGAGACAGCAAGAAAGTCTGGTCAAGAGTGAAGCCAACATCTGCAGAAACAGCCCTGAAGACAACTCTGAAGCCCTAGATTCAGTTGTGCCTGAAGCTGGTCTTACCTGTGGACTTTCTGCTACCTGAGTAAAATAATTTCTTTTGAGGCCCAAGACAATTTGGATCAGGTCTGCAACACTTGCAACTAAGAGATTTCTGACTGCTAAAGGAAAAAATTCACCACATACTGACATACTTTGGAGGAGGCTCTGTCTCTCTGCTGCTGTCGGATGTCTCCTTCTCAGGCTTGTTCGCTTTACCCTCTTTTTGGGGTTGGAAAAATGACCTGGAAGAGAATAAGAGGGGAAATAAAAGAATGATAACGGCACCAATACCCTGCGTAAGCACACCGCACCCTACAGGTTGCAACACCCTTTCCCATCTCAGCATATAACAGAGGATTTCAAACAACCTCTTTGGCTGACAATGAAACAGCCACAGAGGAGATAATGCTTTATTTTCTGACTCACCTGAATTACAACATATGCCAATTTTCTTTCAACAAATGTTAACAAAACACTTATTATGTGCCAGGGCCTGTACTAAACCTGAGGGATTTGGCAGTTACCCAGAAACATAAAGTCCACACCCTGAGGGAGCTGACACTCTAGTGGAGGAGGCCGAACATTGAGCAAATGACCAAATATAAAATGTCAGGAGGCTTGAAGTACTCTGAAAAATATAAAGTAAGGTTCCTTCCAAAAATTGAGATCACCTACACTGAGACTGAGAGACTTGCTTCTAAAGAACAGAGTACTAAGAGAGAAAAACAGAAACCTTACACTAGAGAGGCCTGTCCCACACTCCCCTAACCAAGTGATGAAGGTGAACTTAGCTAGTGACACCACTGGGATGTTATGCACCCCTGACACAAGGTGGTATCTTTCAGTGGTACCTTTCCAAAGCTCATAACCTTAGTCTAATTATGAGAACAACATTGCACACACCAAAACTGGGGGATATTCTACAGGATACTTGGCCAGTACTCCTTAAGACTGACAAAGTCATAAGAGATGTGACAACTAAATGCAACATGGTAGTCTGAATTGGATCCTGAAACAGAAAAGGATATTCATAAAAACAAAACAAAACAAACAAATAAAAAGCTGGTGAAATCTAAATAATAAAGTGTAGAGTTTAGTTATTAGTAATGTACTGATGCTAGTTCCTTAGTTGTGAGAATTGAACCACATTAATGCAATGTCACAGTAATGTCAACAACGGAAACTGGGTGAGGGGCATATAGGAATCCTCTGTACCATCTCAACAACTTTTCTGTACATCTAAAATTATCCCAAAGTTAAAAGTTTATTTAATCTGAAAAAAAGAAAGAAAAAGAAAATAAGAGAAAACAAGAGGTCAGAAAGTAGTCAAAGGTGTTATTAACCCACGATAGACTATTCTCAGAGTTCTCATCACACGAGAAAAATGCAACCCCAGGATTTGTGTAGGCCACTGTCTCCCGAGTGCCTGTGGTGGATGTCCAGGTCTAGGTCTGGGTCTGTCCATTCCCCCCGTTCCATCCCTCAGTAACAACTCCTTCATTTTCCTCATTTCCCCTTATCCTGAAATCGCTCAGTACATATGGTTTGAAGGGACCTTCCCTTTCATCTACAACCAGAGGTGGACACATGACCCAGGCAGGCCAATCAGAGCACAGCATCCCTGTGGCTACAGTGGTTGGCTCAGGGACAGGCATGTGGCCCAAGGTGGGCCAGTGAAACCGGACTCTAGATACTGCTGGGAGAGAGACACTCTGTTTCCACTATGACTGTTAACCTAGAGACAGCCAGTCTGAGAGTGAACACAGAAAAAAGCAGAGTTGAATACTGGACAGAGACAGAAGGTTTTAGCAACTGGATCTAGCCAAGCCAAGCCTGAGGCCATTTATTCCAGAAGGTTTCAAGCACATAAGCTAAAGTAATTCTCTTTCTTTTTCTCCTGAAGCCAGCTTGTTTTAGTAAAAGGTTTCTCAACTTCGACACGACTGACATTTTAGTCCAGATCACTCTTGTGGGGGGCTACTCAGAAGGATGCGTAGCTGTGTGCCTGACCTTTAACCACCAGATGCCAATGGCAAGCCCCCATGCCCTTAAGTTGTGACAACCAAAAGTATCTTGATATTGACAGATGTTCCCTGAGGAGCAAGCTGGTTTCAAGAAAAAAGGAAAGGGAATTACTTAGCTTACATAGTTGAAACCTTCTGGAGTAGATGGTATCAGGCTTGGCTGGATCCAGCTGCCAAAACTGTCACTGAGAATCTGTCTCTGTTCAGTGTTCAGTTCTGCTTTCTTCAGTGTTTCTGTCCTTTGCAACTAAAAAGTTTTGTACAATAAACTAATGTCTTCCATATTCCACTCCCCATTTTCTGTACTACTCAACTCATGGACATTCCAACTCAAAGTAAACTGAATTCTTTTATAAAAAGGCATAGATTTGGAGAAAAAAGCTAAGGACTTAGAGAGCATAAGACTGAGGCTATGACAGGGTCCTCACATGATACTTCGCTGCATGTTGGCATCAAAATTCTCCCCTCCTGTCTAGTTCTGTTCTTCTCCCGTCAGCTGTTCCTGAAACACAAATCCAAATACTTGTTGAGGATATTGGTTATGCAGAGATACAAACACATAAAACCCCTCCTTTCAGAAAGAAAACGAAAAACAGAAAATAGAAATCAGAAACATGAGTGTCCCCTTCAAGAAGAAATTCCCATTTTTATGAACCAAAATGATTTGGAATGAAAGTTCCAAATCAGAGAAAAAGACATCCCCTTTGCCACGGAGAGTCTGCTTTTCATCTAATAGAAAGAATGCACAGAAGACCTGAAGGGTTTTTCTGGAGTTAAGTTTTAAGGTGAAAAATTTAGTGAAAAACTGTTTTAAGGTGATTATATAATGTCCTAAAATAACCTCGAAAGATGGCAGATCATAAAATTGTACCCAATGGTCTACACAAATCAGCTATTAAGCTAAGGTATACTGTTAACTGGAACAAAGGGCAGAACAACATGGAGAGCATGCCACTACACTGTATACAAAAGAAAATATTAACGAATCTGTTTGTATATGCACAGACCATCTCTGTTGAGAGATAAAAAACTGGTGATGCTCTCACTTCAGAAGGGACAGACACCGGAGGGAGACTTTTTGCCACACATGCTTTTGCATGCAGGACCATCTGAATACATTATACCTTCAAAATATAATTTTAAATTAAATATTAAAAAAATAGGAATCATAATGAAATCAGTAATAGTCACTGGGGCTTCTACAGCATGGAGGAACTTAAAGAAAGGGTTATTTTTTGTTTTTGTTTTTGAGCAGGAGTCTCACGCTGTCAACCAGCTGGAGTGCAGTGACATGATCATGGCTCACCACAGCCTCAATGTCCTGGGCTCAAGCAGTCCTTCTGCCTTGGCCTCCCAAAGTGCTGGGATTACACATGTAAGCCCCCTGCATCCAGCAGAAAGCACTCTTAATTTGGGGTCCACAGAACACTCCTACCATCTACCTCCCAGGAGTCCAAGAATAGAATTCAAGAGGTCTATGAGAATTGATAGGAAAGAAATTACAACTTTATTTTTGCAAACTTCTAACAGGAACTGACCCTTTCCTTCTATTACAAATAGTGGTAATAAAACAAAGAGGCACTCACAAGACCTCTGGGTGGATTGCTGGAATCATCAATGACCCATCATGGAGTTCCCTCTAGTTTTCTGGAATGAGTGCCCTTTGTCCCATGTGGCCTGAGTCTGCACTCTTCTCCACAGCCTCAGCCAACACAGTGTTGCCACCAGGAACTCAGACTCAATTTGGAATCAGAAAACTCAGTAATTTCTATACAGGGTTCCCCAGGGCCATTTATAAACAGGAAGTAGGCCAAGCATTAAGGAAACAACTCACAAAGAAAGTAGTTTAGGGATTTAGCTACCAAAAATCCTGGGGGAAAAGGAGAAGGGAATATGAAGAACATGATCACTATTATTTGAGTGCTAGGTACTTTACAGTCTCAATTTTATTGACTCTCCACAACGGTTACAGATTAGGAAACTAAGGCACAGAGAAGTTAAAGGGACTTAAACCAGGTCTAGTAAGTCCCACTCCAGATTTGGTTGCTCCACAGTTCACCTCATAACCACTAAACTGAGCTTTGAGGAGAGGAAGAAGAAATGGCCATTTACTGAGAAGCAAAGTCTAAGCTAGACAGGCGGATCACATTCTCAATCCTCCAGCCAGCCCTTTAAGAGAGGTGTCATCAACCCAACTTTATAGACTGAAGGTATTGAGGACAGAGGGATACAGCTGGGGCTCAAGCAAGGCTTCAAACCCAGGTGCGGTGCCTCCAAAGCCCACACCTCTTCTTCCTTACCATAGAACTCAAGGTTTTTCAAGGCTGGCCTTTAACTCTCCGTACTGCTGGGCTGGGAGGTCAAGCTGGTCAATGCCTCTGGAGGACCTCATGGCATCTCTACCAGATCCCGCAACCTCACTTCCGTGAATTTAGTCTACAGAGATGCTCACATGTGGGCGACATGATGTGAGCAAAGTTACTTGCTGCAGCACTATTTGTAATGAGAAAATACTGGAAGCTAGTGGCATGCCTACCCATGGGAAAAACTGGTTCCTTAAATACTGGTACAACCATATGGTGAAATACTGTGCAGTGTTAAGTGGAATGAATGATGGCTAAAGGATATGGGAGTTTCTTTTTGGGGTGATAGAAATGTCCTAAAATTGTGATAATGATTGTGCAACTCAGTGAATATACTAAAAACCACTGAATCGTATACTTTAAATGGTCAAATTGTATGGTGTGTGAATTCTATCTTAATAAAGCGGTTATCAAAATAAATACAAATAATGAAAGGAAAAATATCAAGTGAGGATGAAATACTACACAGCAATAAACAGAAATAAAGTATCAATACCTGCAACAACTGGGGCAGATTTCAAGGGCATTATGCTGAGTGGAAAAAGCAGAACACACTGTAGAATTTCATTTACATGATCTTCAAATGACAAAGCCAGAGACAGCGAACAGGTTAAGGGTTGCCAGAGGTTGGGGGAGGGGTGGCTACAAAGGGGAAGAAGCACAAGGAGTTCCCTTGTGGCGAGGGAACTGTTCTACAACCCAATTGTGATGGGGCTTACATGAATCTATACAAGGGATCACACTGCACACACACCCAGAAGCAAGTGTAAAAACTGGAGAAAACGGAATGAACAAGGTCCGCAGACTAGCTAACAGAATTGCATCGATGTCCCGGTTTCGAGATTGGACTCCAGTTATATGTCATCATTAGGAAAAGTTTTACAATTTCTTTGAGTCTATAATTATTTCAAAACAGAAACAACAGGCAAGCTCCGCCCCCTTTTCAGGCATCCACAAGGCCAGACTTCTTCCTATCCAGATTTCTGTTCTTTCACGAGACCTGGATCTTACCATTGACCTTTCCCGGATCTCCCCTCGTCCAGTTGGCCCCACCCCTTCCAGGTGACGCTGCCCGCGATTAACCTGAGTTCCGCTCCTTCCAGCGCTTCAAATTTCCAGACGGCCACGCCCCCTTTCCCAGACCCCGCCCCTTAGCCCTTCGATGTTCCGCCCGCTTCCAGGTGGCCCCGCCCCTCCAGGCCTCTCTTCAGACCCACTCGCTTCCAACTGCCGGCGTCCCTCGTCTACCTGGCTTCTCCCCTGCACCCTCCGGCGGCCCGCAACCCGCAGCCCGCGCTCTCTCCCGTCCACCGCGCTCTCGGCCGCCTCAGCGTCCCCACGCCCGCTCCTTAGCACCCACTCCGAACAGGGCGACGCATGAGCCACAAACATTCGGCACGCTCGCCGCCCTCAGTCCCCCAGCCCCGTGCAGGTGGCCTCACTTACCTCGCGTCGCTCTCGCGGGCCGCTGCCCGGGCGACACGCTCGGATCTGCTGGGCGAATCGCGGCGGTCCCAAATTCGCGCCACGGCATTCGCGCGCAGACCTCAGCGGGCGGGGACGGGGCGGGGCCGAGGGGGGCGGGGTCAGGCACTATCCGCGCCGCCGTCGCCCCGCGGGGGACGCTGGGAGTTGTAGTCTCTCAAACGGGAGGCGGCCGCGAAAGGAGGTGAAAGTGGAGCTAGCCCTCCCGCAGAGCATACTGGGAAACTGCCCTGAGTCTTACCCCGCCCCCAACTCCGGAGGAGCGGCTGAGGTTGCGGGTCCCAGGAGTGACTGGCGGGGAAAGAGGAAGAGTCGGTGAAGGCGCCGCGCGAGGCACGGCGGGAAGAGAGGCGGGAGGCCGCGCGGGGCATCCCGGGAGCAAGGGCCTGGCCGGGCCTCGGCGCAGGGCATTCTGGGAGGTGGACGCCGCTCCGGGGCGGGTAGGTGAGTGGGGAGGGGCGGGAAGGGTGCACATCTGGGGGAGGGGAGAGGCGCAGCTAGGTGGGACGGCGGGGCCGGGAGCCGTCGCCGCGGGCGGGGCTGGGAGCGACTGGGGAGGCGGGAGCGGGCTGGAAGGGGCTGCTCGAGGGGGAGAGGCGCCGCTGGATGTGGGGGAGCACCAGAGGTGAAGAAGCCCATTTGAGGACGAGGGGCCATGGCTAGAACGAAGACGCGCACTGGGGAGGACGCTGGCTGCAGCTGGGAGTAGGGGGCCACAGCTGGACTGGCGGACGCATCCGAGGATGAGGGGGACCACAGACAAATACTGGTGACACTTCTGAGAACTAGCCACAAGTGGGGCACGCACCTGTAGGCGAGGGGTCCCAAACAGGATGCGGGGAGCACGACTGGGGATGGGAGCATCTCAGGGAAGCAGGAGCCACGGCGGGACGTGGCGATCCACAGAGGCCACGTCGGGTGGAAAGGCAGCAGCTGCATATCGGAGACACACTAGGGGAGTAGGGCGCCACAGGTGCATGAAGAGCAAGACTGGATGAGGGAGCCTGTGCCTGAATGTGGGGGACACATCTGGTGATGGGACATCTTTCGAGGGGGGGAGTTCAACACGAGTAGGAGCACTAGAGGTCACGGTTAGGGGCGAGAGACACATCTAGAAGGGGAGGAAGTCTTGGCTGGAATTTGGGCACACACACGGGGAGGTCCCCAGCTGAGCGGTCAGGATCCTGTTTGGGGAGAAGGGATCCCGCCTGTACTTAAGGGTACATCTGGGAAGGAGGGGACCCAAGTTGGAATTTGGGCTTAGCATGACAGGCTCAAAGTGAATCAGAGAAAAGGCGATGGGAGGAGTCCAAAGTTAGGGCGGGGAGATTTATATCTGGAGAAAAATGGGCACACCGGGCCCCAACTGGATAGAGGCACCAGCACCGACAGGGCAGGCCAAGAACGGAGAAAATGAGATCCTCCCCCACCCAGCTGGGTGGGGATGGGTCTGATACCCAGCTGTTCTCCCCCCTCTTCCACTCAGGCCCCCAGGATGGAGCGGCCGGAGCCCCCGCCCGGCACGGCGGCGGCCGGGCAGGAGGAGCAGGAGCTGCGGGAGCGGGCCTTCTTCTCGTGGGCCGAGTTCAGCCGCTTCTTCGATGCGTGGTGCCAGCAGCGGCTGGCGCTCTTCTTCGTCAAGAGCTCCATGCACCTGGCGCGCTGCCGCTGGGCCAGCGCGCCCCCGCTCTACACGCTCATCGACGTGCTCAAGTACAGCTACGTGCGGCTGGTGTGCAAGGACGTGCGCGCACCCAGCCGGCCGGCCGTGGGGTGCGTGAGCCTGAGCCGCCGTCCCGCCGGGGGGAGGGGGAGGAAGGGGATGGGGAGTGGGACGTGCAGAGAGCACCCCACCCAGGATCTGGGACAGCTAAATACACCTTGGTGAGAGGCGCGAGTGAAGGAGGGATCAAGGAGGGACGCTTAGGCTGAGACAGGGAGCTGAGGGACAAAGACGCACAGAGACAGGGATGGTGTGCGCCCCACTTACAGACTCCCACAGAGATCCTTAGGGAGGCAGAACATAACACATAGCCACCAAGAGGCAAAAAAAAAAAAAAGTCATGGGAAATTCCAGAAACATGGAGGCATCGATGCTATGGAGAGCCAGGGAAACAGAAGAGCCAGGTTTTTCAAACATACAAAGAGTGGAAAACACTGGGAGACTAAACTGCAAGGGAAGCCACAAGACAAGAGAAAAAGAACCATCTATCCGGTAAATACAGGACCAGGCCTCATGCTGGGGACTTTCTAGTTGGGGTGGGGGTGGCGGGGGAGTTGGGCAAGAAAGAGATAAAATCAGTGCCCTTCTGGAACTTTCAGACTGGACAGGAAGACTGATGTTGCAAGAACAAGCTCACAGGTAGTTCCTTCCAACTGTGTAATGCTTCGAGGAGCGGTAGGTGAGAAATTTAAAAAAAGAAAACAGGAATCACACCCAGGTGGCCAGGAGTATTTTAATTGACCTCGATTTTAAATAGAGATTATTCCTCATGTGATGTTGGGTTTCTAGCTTCCCTTGAAGCACAAGAGGAGGCAAGCCATTTCCATGTGGCAGACAGCCATCCCTCTTGGATGGGACTTTGCTACGCAGGTTTGCCCCAGATCCTGCTCCTTTGTTCTGCTCCATACTTAGCATTGTCAGGTCCTTGTTTTGCCTGCCTGGCCCCTGCAGGTGTGTGAGTTTGAGGCCCTTTGTTAGGGAGAGTGGACAAGAACAGAGTGCTTAAGAACAAAGGCTCTGCCTGCAGGCTACCTGAATCGAGCTCCACTACTTCCTGAATAAGTGTCTTTGGGTAATGGACTTCTCTCCAAGCCTCAGTTTTCTCATCTCTGAGATGGGCTTATCGCAGAATTTGCTTCATGGGGCCTTAATGAGGATATCATGAGATCACACACAAGAAGGGCACTTACTGTGGTGGCTGGAACTTGGAGCAGCTGGTTAAATGATAGCTGGACAGGGTTCGAGAGCACAGACACCAGGGCTGTTGCTTTGCTGATGACTAGCCAGTGCAGTTCAGTACGTGACTATACCCTTCTGGGGCTTCAGTTTCCTACTTGGAACATGGAGGACATATTAGTATCTATCTCATAGGTTTTATGAGGATTAAATGAGCTAATTCATGTAAATCATTCAGAAGAGTGTTCGGCACAGAGTGTGCACACACTAACAGTGATTCTCACTCGAAGTTATTTAAATGGCTACTGTGGGATTACTATTCTCACGAGTTTACTCACTACTTATTCGAGAAACTGAGACTCAGAGATCTGAAAGCACAACAGCACCAAACACACACATCAAACAGAATCTAGAACATTAGAGCTTGCAAGAGACGCAGGCCTAATCTGGAATATTTCTCTGTGAACTGAGCCCAGTTTGATATAACAAATATTTATTGAGCACCTACTGTGTGCATGCTCCTCACTGGGCATTTGGAACCCAGAGCTAGTCTCAGGCTTTGAACAGCTCAAAATCTAATGGAGGAGACAAAGACCAAAAATAAAATTGCAAATAGTGGCCCATAGTAGAGAGTGAGACTGAGGAGGGGAGATGGGAGGGAGGAGGATAAAAAGGGAGAAGTCAGCTCCACCTGAAAGCTTACAAGATGGTTCTGGAAGGCTTCCTGGAAGAGGTAGCCAGTAAGCAGAATCGAAGGATTTTGTTTGTATGTCTATGTATATACAGTATTTTACTTAACAAAGACGTGGCGTCTACTATGTGCAGTCACTGTCCCAAGTGTTCTGTAAATATCAGAGAGAACTAAGGGGCCTAGAGGGCCAGGGCTGCGGAGGGTGTGAGGACAGTGCCCTGGGTTCAGGCCTGATGACTGGGTGGGTGATGCGGTAGTCCCTAGCTAGGGACTGTAGGAGGGGGTCGTCTATGAGCCGGTTCAGGAATGATGACTGGACTCGTCATTTCTGAGCTATTCCCTGCCCCCTTCCTCCCTCCTCCTCCCCCCAGCTACTCAAAATGGCTTCTCCGGTGTCACAGTCCAGGGACAGCCCATGGGCCAAGGTCTGAGGCTGGAGAAACTCGTGTGCTAGGGAAGGGAGGTGAAGAGGTTAGAATGGTGTCAAGGCCTGGGCCTGGCAGGGCTGAGCCCAGGGGCTGGGACTTTATTCTGGAGGTGCTGGGGAGCCCCAGAGGGCTGTGAGCAGGGTCAGCTCTGGGCAGAGGAAGATCCCTCTGGGGTCGCTGTGTGTGAGGTGGTCTGGAGGTGAGAGATGGGATGCCAGGGAGGAGGCTGGGCCTGAGGGTCCAGGACACTCAGATAAGGGCTTTCTGTCTAGCCACTCCTTCCCCCTTGGCAGAGGGTGCATGGCAACCCTCTCCAGGTCACCATTCCTGCAGCTTCAGCTCTCCTACTCCAGTCCCTCTCTCTTTCTCTCCCTCTCAACCCTTCTGGGTCTAGAGCAGAACTGCTCAACCCTTGCCAACACACATCTGTGTTTGAAAACACAAAGATCTCGAAAGTCAGAAAGATCAAGAATAAATGGGGTGAGCAGAACACTTGTACAGTAGGACTTGTAAAAGGAGAAACAATGTTTTGAAAACAGTAGCTACCACGTCTGGATTGTTGACTGTGCAAAAGCCCCTTTCCTAACCACTTTTACCTGTGGTCCTCTCAGCAAGCCTATGAAGCCAGTGTTATCATTAACCCCATTTTTTAGATGAGAAAACTGAGGCATAGAGTGTTTAAAGGTAACTCTCTCAAGGTAACACAGTTGCTAAGAGGAAAGATTGGCATTTGAACGCCCCCAGTCTGACCACAAAGCCCCAGTCTTTCATTACTACCCCATTGCTTTTCTTTTTCTGTCTCTTTCCTCCCTCATCTTTATTTCGGTCATGGATGCTCAGTGAAGAGTTGAACGTGCTGTGCACCCTAAACATTTCTTGGTTCTAGGCACCAGCCTATTTATCCATTCATCCAAGCAGGTTGTTTTGATTCCCTACTGTGTGCAAGGTGTATATGCTTTAGACATATGGGTTTCTGTGGAGAGTATCCATGACACATGGGCATCAGTGAAGTCATCACCTCAGTGTGTGATGGCATCTGCCTTATTCTTGGGGGGAGGGCAGGGAAGGCTTCCTGGAGGAGGCAATGCTGGCTGTGAAGCCTGAAGGATGAGTTGATGTTGACTGGATGAAGGGAGGGTGATTTACCAAGGAGTTAAGAACATACATAGTAGGTTGGTGGCAATGGAAATGCAAAAAACTGGTTGAGGTTTGGAGAGGTTTAGAAGGCGTGATGGGTAGGCCTTGGCGATGGATGGTTTTGATGGAATGGGAACCATATCCCAGAGAAGGCATGCCAGGGTGCCTAGATGACAGTGGGATTCAGTCATTGGGTCATCATGTACTTAGTAAGCACCTCCTGGGGCCAGGTGCTGTTCTAGGGCGCTGGGGATACACAGAGAAACAAAATGGACAAAAATTCCTGCCCATGTGGAATTTACTTGCTTTTTTAAAAAATAGAGACAGGGTCTCGCTATGTTGCCCAAGCTGATCTGGAACTCCTGGTTTCACGCAGTCCTCCCACCGCAGCCTCCCAAAGTTCTGGGATTACAGGCGTGAGTCATTGTGCCTGGCCCTACAGTTTACAGTTGGAAGAGGGTGGCATTATTCCCCCAGACAGGTAGAGCGCAATTGCAAAAATGGTGTGTTGGGGCATTGGGAGACGCTTATATGAGATATTGGGACCTGACAGGGGAGATATGCTCTTCTCTGGTATGGATGGCTTCACAGAAGAGGTGGCCTCCCCTGAGTGAGTGTCTGTTCTAGGGGCTGAAACACCTGGGCTCAAAGAGGCCAGACCAGAGAGTTCCACAAAAGCCCATAAATTATTCTAGAAAAATGTGCTGAGTTGGAATCCTGTGAACTTGTCATTTTGGTAGATCAAATAGTTCTTGTGCTTGTACCTGATGCCACGCGGTGGCTGTACATTTGTATTTTGTTTATAATGACTTGTTTACTTAAGGATTTTCTAAATTTGCCTTAATTTTGTCATTCTAAGTAAGGCAAAAAGTCTTGAACTATTTAGATTTTTAAAACCTAGCAGATTCCTGGGTTTTTCTTCACCTCATACACTAGGAGAAAAGGGGTGTGTCAAGGATCTTCTACTGGTTTAACAAAGAAGTACTCATACTTAAGTATGGTGCTCAGCGTGGATTCTTGGAGAATCACTCAACTCAGGGCCATTTGGAAAAATGTGGGAGGAGGGGTTTTTAGGGGAGTGCCACTGGCATTTACTACTTGGGAGCTGGGGTTTCTTAATCACAAACCAGTCTGTGTTACAAGGATCAGCAAACTAGTGATCCCTTGGGCCAGTTCCATCCTGCAGTTCTTTTTTTATAAATAAGGTTTTGTTTGTTTTTGAGAAAGAGATCTCATTGTTGCTCAGGCTGGAGTTTAGTGATCCGATCACAGCCCACTGCAAGCATAAGTCTCCTGGGCTCAGGTGATCCTTCTGCATCAGCCTCCCAAGTAGCTGGGACTACAGGTACGTGTCACCACACCCAGCTAATTTTTTGACTTTATTTTAGTATAGATGAGGTGTCACTATTTTGCCCAGACCAATCCTCCCACCTTGGCTTCCCAAAGTACTGAGATTACAGGCATGAGCCACCCCACCTGGCCCTCTCTTTCTCCATTTTTGAAGCCATCAGCATAGTATCTATCAGTCTTTCTCTGACTTTGATCCTCTTGCCTCCCTCTTTCCCTTATAAGGACCCTTCTGTTTACATTGGGCCCACCCAGATAATCCAAAATGTCCCAATCTCAAAATCCTTAATTTAATCACACCTGCAAAGTCCCTTTTGCCATATAAGGCAATAATGCCCAGCAACTAGGATGTAGACATTTTGGAGAGCCAGTCTTTCTACCACAGTACTCAAAAACAAAGGTTTTCTAAGTAAACGTTGGCATAAAAGACATCCAGAAAAGTACACACATCCAGTTATGCAACTGGATACATTTTCCCAAAATAAGATGCACATGTAAGCAGCACCCAGAACAAATAACAGAGTATGTCTTGTCCCGAGAAACCACCTGGCACCCCCTCATAGGGCTAACCACTCAAGGGTGACCAACCACTATCCAGTCTCTTAGCAGCAGAGATCAACTTTCCCTGTTGAATGTACTGTAATGGGAATCAGATTGTGGATTCTCTTTTGTGTTTGGTTTCTTTCATACCACAGGTTTCTGAGACTCATCCTTGTGTTTTTGAAGACTATAGTGGCTTGTTCATTCTCATTGTTGACTGGTGTTTTATCTTGGGAGTATATCACATCTTTTCTCATGCTTGTTGGATACTTGGGTTTCAAGTATTTGGCTGATAGGAAAAGTGCTGCTGTGAACATTCTAGTGAACGCCTTTAGGGGCCCACATGGAGCCATTCATCTTGAGTAGGACCGCAGGGTCACAGGAGAGGCAAAGGGTCAGCTCTAGTGGATACTGCCGCATGGCTTTCCAAGGAGGCTGTGCTGTTTTACACTTCCTGCGATTGTGTGTGAGAGTTCCAGTTGCTCCACATCTCTTCATTAACACCTGATGTTCTCCGGCTCTTTCATTCTGCTGTTCTGATGGTGTGTAGTGTTACCTCACCAGAGTCTTAATTTCTTATCTCCTTGATTACAGATGAGTTTGAGCACCTCTTTGTGTGTACAAAGTTTTAAAACATAGAAGCATCCCATCCATCATTTATGGGTGCATACAAAATACACAGGAACGCTAAATACGTAATTTTGGTAGTGGCTACCTCTGGGCAGAGAGAGAGGGAAGGGGATCTGTGAGGGCAGATTCATCCCTGGCCTCAGCTTGTTATGTTGTTATTGCTGAACCAGAAGCAGACACAGGATTCTCTGAAATGTTTTATTTCTGAAAATTGTTGAGATAAATGTAATAAAAACATTCACTGACTTTGGATAGAGTTGAGGATGGTGGGTACAGGATTTTAGCAAACACTTAGTGCTTTCCATGTTCCAGACACTCTTTTTATTTTTTAACACTTTACATATATCAACTTTTCAGCCTCACAACAACCATATGAGAAGGTATGATGATTATTACCTCCCTTTTAACCTGTGTGGAAACTGAGGCACAGAGACTTGAAGTAGCTTGCCCAAAGTCATATGGCTGGCATATTCCTAAGGCACTCTATGCTTTTCTATGCCTGAAACAGTTATTAATTTATAGATGGGGGGGAGGAAAAGGAGGAGAGAGACAGGTAGAGAGGGAAGGGGGAGAGGAAAAAGAGGGAGGGAGAGAAGGGCAGAGAGGACAGAGTGGAGACAGAGAGAGGGAGGAGGAGGAGGAGGGGGGAGAAAGGAGAAAAAGTGGAGAGGGGAGAAAGGAGAAAAAGTGGAGAGAGAGCGAGAGGAGAGGAGGGAGAGAGGGAGGGAGAGAAGGGTGGCGAGAAAAGGGAGTGGAGAGAGACAGGGAGAGAGAGGGAGGGGGAGGCAGAGGCGGGAGAGCCGGCAGCAGCGGGCTGCAGGGGCATGAAGGC